AGTATACAAATATATAAATTTTAATGTTGATTTATCAGTTTGAAGGACATCTAAATGCTATAGTGGTCCGATCTGGAAAATTTATTCGAAGGCTGTACCATTGCCTTGGACCATTATTAAATGCAAATTTCGTGAACATATCTTGTCAAATAAAAAAGTTTTCCATCCGGGGTATAATAAAACACCCGGATTCGTGGCAAAATTAATGTACCCTGTTCAGGTTATAAAAACCGGTTAAATTTAACTGATATGAGAAATCTTTAGCTACTCGGCTATAAGCAAAACAGAAAGAGTAATGTATATAGAATTAATTCTTACAGCTTTTGATAGATTTTTCATTGAGCCTCTGAAACTGAAATTTTGCATAATATACTAATCTGCAGTTACTTTAATTATAGTTTTTACATGTGGATAAAGACGTTCTTTAAGTTACCTTATACCAAAGTTTATGTAATATATGGATATATGTATATCAAGTTTTTCCACAATGCTATGATGTTGATTTCCAGTTAAAAAAAACAATTAAAATTAATACCGTTATAGAAACAGTTGGTTCGAAATTTTTTAGGGACTAATTTTTATATCATATAAATGTCTGTAGTTTTATGGAGACTTGCAAAGGTCTCGGTGGATCTTAAATACTAAGTATTTATATATACATACATATACATATCTAATTAAATTTTCAAAGAGGTACTCTTCATTCAAGGGATTATATCCTTTTTTGCTTTTGAAGAATTATTTAATAAAATATGCTTTCGAAAATTTTTGGAACCCCATTATTCGGTAGCCGATTTCCAGTAGAACCTCCCAAACCCTTTTCTGGCAGTCAGGTATATATTTCAAATCCAAAAATAAAAAATGCATCACTTATATGAATAATGAAAACCACATATGAATATTTTCTACTAAAACTTTACCTTGTCAAATAACCGCAAATAAATAATTTCATCATCGCATTTCATCACAACCACAAAATGCTCCAACAAACAATATTTACGAGTGAGCATAACAGCTGTAAAATTCAACTCAGTGCTCAATGTACTCCAAACTAATACATGCAAACATAACAAAAAGTAAATAAAGTAAACAGCATGAAATATACTCAACAAGTATATAGGAAAAATAGGCGTTGCCAGTGACCAAAAGTGAAATGTATGTGTAAATTGTCAAAATTTGATTCGTAGAATCATCAAACTGAGTTGCACTCTCAAAAAAGACTCAACGCAGAAGTGAGTATATAAATGGTTATATGGAGTTTTATACTTATATACATGCATAGATATAAATATGAGAACTAAAACAAAAGAGAGAGAAAGAGAGAGAGAGAGTAATGAAGTAATTCACATATACTCAGTGATAAATGCACAGCTGAAATACTCTCAGCCACACAAGTAAACAGTCATGCACTGAGTCGGCTGAGTGATATTTGGCGAGCTACCGTCGTGAATATAGAAGTATACGACCTTATAAGGGCCGTTACGCTCTTAAGATGTACATATTTTTGTATGTTAATTTTTTCATTCATAAATTGTTTTTTTTTGGTATATCAGCTGTGCGCAAGCCATTTTACGTTATTCATTCGTAAAATATGTATTTAAAGGGATGGTATACAATTTAATCTAATAATTTTTATATGGTTTTGTTAATGTACATATATATGTATATATATTTGTTAAAATTTAATAATAATTGCTAGTTTTACTGAACAACAATGCAATTAGACACTATGGTATGAATCACTCAAAAGTGAGCTTGCGTTTGAAATAAGTAGATAAAAGATATTGCTTGACTTACTAGATTACGTGTCCAGTGATGTTATTGCTGATTTTAGTCAACACTTTAATAATATTAATATATTATATTTATACACCGCATACAGTGTCGGTTTGATCCAACATACAAAATAGTATAGCATTTATCCCAATTTATACGAGTATGTGCGAAATTTTTTAATAGCAAGTTATTTGTTTAAAAAATGAGAAAGAGTTATAAATGCACAAACGGGCTTGGGTTCAGGTGAATTTTCTTATTAAAAAGTTTGGACTAAAAATATAATTTCTATTTTTATACACAAAAAATATTTAATCAAGTTTTAATTGCGATTTTGAAAAATAAATTTTTAATTATATAAGAAATTGATAAAATATTTTTAAAATTTTAAAATGGGAATTTGGAAATTTTTAATCCCAAAATCAAAAAAAAAAAGTATACATTATTTTATTAATTTTGATTTGGGTATCAAAAATTAAAATAAATAAAAATTTATTTGAGTATCAAAAAAATAAAAAACAATAAATAAGAATTTGTTTTCTAAAATCAAAAATAAAAATCGTGACAAAATGTTTTTTAGTTTAAAAGTTGGAATTTGGAAATTTATTTTTAATCCCAAAATCAAATTTAAAAATTGATAAATAGTTTTTAATTTAAAACTTGGAGTAACAAATAAGAAAAAATATTTTTCAAATCAAAAGCTGGAATGAAAAGGGACAAAAATTAAAGATTTAAAATGATTTAGATCTTAACTGCAACAATATAATTTAAAGTAATTATCTGGATATAAATAAGACAAAGAATGGTAAACTTATTTGATAAGTTATTAAAAATAAGCTTTGATTGTTCAAATATAACCAAAATAAAAGAACACGAAGTACGCAAACGCGAAATAAGTTAAAATGAAAAACCAATTTTTTTTTTAATTTTCAACTTTAAACTTATCTAGTTCTAACATTTGATATATTTTCGATCCGAGATGTAGGATTTAAATTTGCATATAGAATTTTTCTTTAGATTTTCGGGATTAAAAAATAATTTTTAATAACTTTGATCATAATCTGGAATCGGGATATATTTTGCGGCCAAATTCCAGATACTCTTGTCTGGCGATCTGATGTCAAGAGTTCCTGATGCTGATAAAAATGAAAGTGTAAATTTTTCAATTGAATGTCTTACGTCTCTAGTTTTACCCTGAATGCCATCACATAATCTTCGGTTGAAAATTGGTCCTTCTATTATTCTTCTGCGTAATTTGAACTCATCCCGATTATAGAATGGTAAATGGTTGGTCATCGAAAAGATCACCAGAAATGTTCTTGAAGCAATCATATGGACTGAAAAGTTTAATGGAGAAATGGTCCTGTTGCCACGAACTTCAAGAACACCGTCAGTTTCTTCGTCATCTACCTTTGAGCAGGCTACAGTTATCCAATGTCTATAAAGAAGTTTCTCAGCCAAATAATAACTATGTGCGATTTAGATTTGAAAAATTCTTTCTTTTTTTCTATGGGGAGAATTTGGATAAATTACTTTCAATCATAATATCGTCGGTTCTCATACTGGCGGTAATGTTTTCATTTTTATTCGTGCATAATAATTTCACTGTATTAAATAGTTTGTTAAAATAATATTTAATCTATGCCTTAGCCACCGCAATGCGTGTTTAGATCTTTATTATAAATGTGATTTTTGGAGGAAAGTTAGAAGGATCTTATATTTCTCTATGCCCCATGTATGATATAAAATCATTATTGCCGTTCTGGTGGTTCCATTTAATTCTTAAATAATAACCATGCATACCTCACAGGTATTTTTTTCAACTCTTTTCAATTTTTTATTAAATTTTCTTTTTAAGAAAAAAAGAGAGATTAATCTTTTATTCTTAATTTTTTGTGTTTATTTTTTTTGTTTTGCGTGTAAGTACATATGTATGTATGTGTAATGCGTTTTTGAAATTGAATACCAAACCTGTGCTTAAAGCCTTACAAGTGCCTCTTCACCTTCATGATATTCTTAAGACCAGAACTTTTCTGTGGTTTGGTGTTCTTTATTCAACAAGTGCATATTTAAAATTTGATGAACTGTCCGCAGTGGTTTATAATGCTTCAAGTACCGTTATCGAATATATAACGGTTATTTATGGGCTGAAGAAAACAGATATTCTTACAAATGTGCCATATACAAATATGTATATTTAAGTAGCTACAAATTAGTGCTACAAGTTCACTCATATATTTTTTAGGTACCTTATATGTGCCTGCAAATATACATAAATGCAATACAGTTTACCTGCATACGCCTATAGCGCCATATCAGTTTCATCAGCAGCATAAAATTTGCGAAATCGGAAGAAGACGACGATATGGGTTTCGGTCTATTCGACTTAACAGCTCAAGACTAAAGTTACTTAAGAGAAAAGAAATGTGCTGGATGCAAAATGCAGACATTTCTGTCTTAAATTTCATCCGTCTTTAAAACAAATTACAAGCTAGTTATATGTACTGTTATACTTTGACATTTAAATACTTTGATTCTCTGTCATGTATACTTGCAACACTGAAGTTCTACTGACAAACACCATACATTATAGTCATTTAATTCCCATTTGATTTGACAAAAGACGCGGCTAATATCTTAATAAGCATCTTTTAACGATATGTATGCCATATTTATTTGATGTTTACGAAATAATTTATTTTTTACACACACTCAAGATCAAATTTGACCCGGACTGGCCAATATAAACTGCGCACGCAAACCGAATCGACAAATTTTTCTCTAGATTAGGATAACCCTTTTTGTGGTAGTTTTTACCGTAAGCGTTACGCAGTTTAGTGTTTGAAAGATAAGATTTTCGTATGTACTAAAAAACTTCACTTTTTTTGGACGCCTAAGCAAATTAGATTAATTAATAATTGTGTATATGTTTTACAGATAAATTCGATTTATTTTAATGAATTTTGTTTTTACTTTACAATCACTTTTGGCATTTACACATCTGCATTTTTATTAATATTATTTTATAGTAATTAATATACATATTTGTTTTCTTACACTGTTTTATTCATACTTTTAATTATTATATGCGTATTTGCGAATAAAATCAAGATTTTTTTTCTTATATATATATGCATTTTTTTGTTGTTTTAGTTTTTCTGATATATTTTTATTTAAAACACAATAAATAATTAAATAAATTCATAAACCAATTAATTATTATTAATATAATGTTTATGTACGTATGTATGTGTGTCCAAATCCACATAACTGAACGAATTTCCGACTAACAGTTAGGCTTTCGAAGACCTATTATTTATTATGGCTTTAGTTTTAATTCGTATAATTTATGTTAGTATTCTAAATTCTCTTTATAATTTGATACTTAATAGTCTACTTTTATGATTTTTATTCAGTTTTTATATTTTACTTTAAGTACATGCATAGCCAAAGGGTTTTTATTAACCATATTTTGTTGTCATATTTGCTTGAATTTTAAACTTAGTTTTTTTTTTTTGTAGTCGTTTGGTTTTTTAATTTTATATGTGTGCATGTTTGAATTGTAATGTCACTTTGTTTATTTATTTTTAAGATTTCGATCAGCTCATTACATGTAGTAAGTACAACAAACAATTTACAGCTCATTGGGTAAGTTTAGTTTTCGTAACAACATCCACATACATACTACATACTTACATAAATGTGATTTGTACAAATGTAAAAAATAATTACCATATATTAATGCAACATAAATTAGAAATTAAATATATATACATATATACATATATATATATATATATATTAATATGAGTAGTAAAATTGCGACACAACTAATCTTTCATAAATACAATATGTAAGTGAAGAGCGATAAAGTATTTTATTAAAACCGTTAAGCTACAGTGCCATCATTAGCAGCTGACTACAATTTTCATATACTTTTCAAAACACAACATTAATCATTAAAAGACATGGTGGTGATAAGGCTTCAAATCATAAGATTGATATTTTGCTTTTTAAGTTGTGATATATGTTGAGTCACATGTTCACTTCTGAAGTCTGTTAACAAAAATTGTTTTAAATTTTTCCAAGTGTTTTTTAAACATTAAACAAGTTAACATGTGGTGTCATATAATTTCAAGTTACGCAAACATATATCATATATCAGTGATGTTATATCAATATATCCATTACCAAACCTATGCATATGCCATATAACCAGCAACAGGCGATGTGATATCAAATCATCATACTACATCCTTCAGTGTTATTCATGTGCAACAAATCACGTCATACGAGGTTGTGTCATGAAGCATTGCATTATGCGATGTGATATCATAACAACTTATGATACACGTTGTGAACACTACTGTTAATAATACTCTAAACGAACTGATTTACGTTATACAAATGCGTTAAGACTGAGCAGCAACATGTAATATTGTTGGATACATATGTATGTATACTTGTATAAAGTTTATCATACCATTGACATGGCCTGTGATATCATATGACATAATCACTACTGTCTTTCCTGTCATTTTTTCCGTTGCTTTCTACATTTAATTGCTATGAGTTTTTATCAAAAAAAAAAATAAATAAATAACGGTTTTACATGTTTTTAGTGTTTCTTTAATGTTTTGTTGTAATTAATACATAATTTATGTTTATGTGTATAATTGCTTATAAAATATATTATAAATAAATAAATAAATAAATATATAGTGTAGTTAAAATTTGTAATTATTTTAATTAACGCTATTACATATACATATATAATTACATTATACGCTGGCGTTTCTAAATTAATAAGCTTCATTGTTGACGTTTGTACATATTTTACAATTTCTTACGTTTATATTAGTATATAATTTTTTTGTAATTTTTGGTAACTGGTATTTAAGTGTGAAATATTTTTAAGTATGCTGTTACTTTCAATATATGCTTTGTTTAATTTACAATTTTGTATGTGTCACGAAATATTTACTGGTGGAAAATGAAAAACAACAACTCATTACTTCCATTGCTATTAATGTTTTTGGTGTTTTTTTTGTTTTGTTTAAAAAAAAAAACTTGTTTGCCAGCGACTTAATGTTGCATATATCTTTTTTTCATTTTTTTAAATTTATTTTTTATGCCTCATTTAATCATTCTTTGGAATAAAAGTTGTTTTCAAAACTCAATACAATATATAAAACGAAAATTTTGTGCGCACTCGCACCGTCAAGTTTCTAACAAACTGTGTTTAATTAAATTATTAAAAATTAATTATAGGAATTGGAAAATTATCATAATCTAGGAAAGCAAAAGCCTTTTTTTATAGTATTAAAATATAAGTCATAATTGGGTTATACATATATATAGAAGTCTTTCGCTAAAAATCGCACACACTGAAATTCTTTGTAAATCTGTATGAAAAACATTATTCCGCCTCATTGTTTGCTGGTTTATGTATTCCTTCACATATTAGTAATGAATGGGTGTGACGGCCTCTTAGGCATATACATATGTACATAAGTACATATTTTATTTGTTAGTTTGCTTTTTTTGTTTTTCTTGTTGCGTTTATATACATTAATTGCACATCTGCATCAATTTTTCGCAGAGGTTGATTAGATATTCGAAAAAGCTAAGGCTTTCCACAATTATCAACCATTCTCTCACCTGTGCGGTTCTATTGTAATTGGGTGTTATGGTCTCATTAATAATCCGTAAATAAGTGCTTTCATTGAGTGCACTTATGGCAACATTTTTATTTTGAGTCAGCTCGTCGTATGTGTGTTCCAAAAAGTTGATTAAGGTAGCGTATTGATAATTATATGTATTGTACCAATTCTGCTTGTTGTTCTCGTTTACAATTTCTTTGAATACGATTTGCAAGATTTTGAATGTTCTAATTATGTTACTAATTTCTTCAACAAGCTATACGAAAAAGAGAGTTAACAAGAAAAAAAAGAAAAATTATTAGTTTTCATTACATTTACATTATTTTAAACTGTTAAATTTATACAAAAATTTTCGCAAAAGTTGCTATTAGATTAGCTATACTAAATAAAATATTCCATGCTTACCAATTCTTCGCTCATTTGCTTTCCTTCTAGATGGGGAAATTCCGTTTTTGAAATATTGTGAAGGGTGTAAAAATGCATATATGGATGTTCTAAACTTAAGTTATGTTTGCTCCAGGCTTTGAAAGCTTCCTCCGCTGTTTGAGTGAAACGAACTTTAGTCTGGAAAATACGAAGAATTTCGTTGAATTAAAGTAAAGTACATTTTATATTATTAAATTTTTGTAGTTTTTAATAAAATTTTAATTTTTTAGCTTGGTGAATATTATATATATATTTCTATGTTTATATAAATCAGATTATAGTATAATTTTACTAAAGTCATTTTTAAAATTATATATTTTTTTAAATTAAATTATTTAAAAATAATTTTTTTTAAATTTCATTATTTACAAATTAAATTTTTTTTCATTTCATTAAGGAAATTGGTGCCCAATTGGGAAATGTTTAAATATCTTAATTTCTACTTTCTTAAACTATATACTCGTATTACTATTGCTGTTACTTACAAACTCATCAATCTTGTCCATAAGCGTTCTGCGCGACGTGTTCGCTTGTTTTCGCATACTGTCTAGAGCTGAGCACGTCGTCATTTTAGTCGAACGTACGTTCAAGTGATGACGACGATGCAGTTGTACACCATGTATGGGCGATAATTCACGTTCGTACTGCATTACTTGCTTGTGATGTTGCAGACGATTTTCTAATGAGTGTAGAATTTGTTTTCTTCCGTGTAACGTTCGACCGGAAGTAGTGGAAATTTGCGCCAATATGACAATGCAAATGATTGGCAGGAGTGCATAGGATTCTGAAAGCAGAAAAAAAATAAAGAGAAATACATGAGTAATGGTGAATTTGAAACTGATTTGTATAAATATATCTAATGGAAAACACAAGAAATTTTGTGTTAGGCCACTTTAACCGCAACAGCTCAGATTATTTTTATTTAAAATGCTCACTTTAACAAACATAGTTTCCTTTACTCATATAATTTATTTTTGAGCCCTAATACATACATATGTATACACACACATATTTGTGTCTATATTGATATGCTAGCATAAGCACATATCAAAGCACGCACTACCACATGCACACAGCGCTGAAAAGCTAACGCATACAAATACATAGATAAACACACCTGAGCGAGTCGCTTCGGCCAATTGCAGCATACACCAATGAACGCTGCGAAATTATCGCACACTATAAAAGCCAGCGCTGCCAGCAAATGCGCTAAAAACCAATGCAAAATTCGCAATGGCAGCGTTGTTGGGCTGTCAAGTAGCGGCTAAGAAATTTCTGCTGTGTTTTTATATATAAAATGTATCTATGTATGTCAAAGCAATGTACATATATCATACATTATATATTATATATACATAGATGTGCAATTAGCGCAGCTAAAGCGTACACACAGTAATTTGTAGAATTTATAAAAGAGCACAAGCTGCTGCAACAAAATATGCTGTAAACGCGCGTGTTGGCATGCGGCATACGCGTTGATCGATCGATCTGCAGTTTACCGCTTTTGAGGATATGTAGATGTGGATATGTGTGCGATTGTGCTTGACAGGTGGTCTAAGTAATCTAGTCAGACTTTGAGACTTAAACTGTCTAGGCTTTTTTCAAGATCAAGGCAAAGGCCGCCAACAATAGAAATTTACTGCCGCCTGCTGCCGTTTGTTGCTGCCATCTATTTTATAATTTGTTGCTGTTTCTTTTTTTCTTAGCTTTGAAAGGAATTTAGTAAAGCGCATAGCGCAGATGCGTCGCCTGCAATTTTCATTTGCTTGGCTGTTTGTATGTGTGCTCATATGTGGCAGACATAGCTGAGTATTAGAAATTTGTTAATTATCATTCGTAATTAAAAGCAACGCTTTTAATGTGAAGCGATCTTGTTGGTTGTTTTGAAAGGTGTATATTTGTATGTAATGTATAGCAAATGTTGTATTTACTTCGAGAGCTATGTGTGTGGTCGTGCGGTTGAGTAGACTTTTCATAGATAGCGGTACTAAACGCAATGGCTGATAAAATAATATATATGCATATATGTATATACCAATTTTTATCGTTTGGGTTTTCATTATCTATGTATACATAGTATATACAAATAAGTTTTTTTAACCAATTGTTTTGAAAAATAATGCTATACGAGTATTCATAGTAGCTGCAAGAAAATTTATATTGAATACACATATACTCAGATTATATAAAAAATCAAAAGTCGGAGACGCTACATTTCCATATATATTAGAATAAATGAGCAGCATGACGAGTCGATTAATCCTCATCCGTTTCACTGATTGTATATACACGAACTAGTCCTTCAGTTTTTGAGATATCGATCTAAAATTTGGCTGGTCATTTATTGGAACGGCCATTATCGGACCACTATAGCATATAGCTGTCATACAAACCGTCCGACCAAAATCAAGTTCTTGTATGAAAAACTTTTTTCTTTGACAAGTTATCGTCACGAAATTTTGCATGGATTATTGCTTAAGAGAGCAGTATAATCACCATTTAAATTGTTCAAATTGGACCACTATAGCATATAGCTGCCATACAAAGTGAACGATCAAAATTACAATATTTTTATGCGTGAACAGTAAAACAGCTTCGGTGCAGCTGAAGTGTTTTTCTTGTTTTTAAACTTTTTTAACAGCCAAATCATGATCCCTATATTTCTGTTTGTATGTCACTAATTGCCATAGTTTGTAAGCACTAACAATATAATATTTCTATTAATGTTACGTGTGAAAATATGTGCAGTATTGAGGAATTATATTTTGTTTTGATTTTTAAAGCAAGAATTTATTTGTTCATATGACTAACGCTAATGCTTGTATGTAAATACAAAACGAAATGACATGGGCATGTGTGCCTGGTTGTAATGGTACTGACAAGCACCGATGTGTATTTGCTACAATTAGTTTGCGAATAGTTTTGATAAAAATTTTGTTTACTATACTAATTTGATTTATTATATTTTATATTTAATTTGTTATTTATTTAATTTTATTTTTAGTCAATAATAATACTCGATACATTTTTAAGTTGCAGCTACTTGAGTTTTTTGTTTAGATACGACTATATGGTGAAGCTCGAATAGCACTCATACATTCATATGAATATATATATAATTGTTATTTTTATTACTATATATATATAAATGAATATATATTTTGATATATATTTAGTTTTGCTTTTTATTTAATTTTTAATAATTATTTACTCCAATTTATAGAAATATGTGTGCTTCGTTGCCATTTCTTTAATATTAATACCCGTCATTGATTCATTCATTAATACGTTTCATTCAATAATACACTTGCTTGAATTGTTATCTACGTGCACACTCACACACACACACACACGCGCGCGCGACACGCACCGCTTACATAGTGCTTCGTTTGTACACAGTGGCCACGTGTAGGCGGATGCGCGTTGACCTGTAAAGGAAAATCATTGAAGAGTATCCTGTTTGCTCGCTACTTAAAACAATTGAGCTAAATAACAGTTTCGCATTTTCCACGTGTGTGTGTTCGTGATTGTTTGTGTCACTCCTGTTTGCTTTTTAATTATAGCAATCACTGCAATTATATTTATTTCATCATATTATTATTAATTAAGCAGACATACTATATATCGCCATTTACATACATACAAACATAAGCAGCATATCATAGCTAAATGCACTCCGTATTACATACATATGTATGTGTGTGTATTTTTGCCACCTTGTATATTTGTATGCTCATTTAGTCTAGTTAAGCTGTGAGTGTGTAAGGCGTATTGCCATTGGCTACCACTTAGTTAAGAAGATGTTAAAAAAAGATTATCAACATACAATATATGTATATACGCGTGTATGTAGGATGTAAAAATACATTTCTAACGAAATATATCAAGGAGAAAAAATAAGGCAAATGTTAAGCATTCGCATTATTTGTTGCGCTACTTTCGTAGTTGGATTATTGAAGGTATTGAGGTTAAATTAATGTTCGGTATATGTATATGCCAAATCTACTTGAGTCGCATCATCCAGCAGATTTATCATGTTTTGCGGAGTCAGGTAGCAGAATCGTTAATATTTTAATTAACATATTTCTTTATATAATCAGAAAGATCTAAAGTCAAAAAAAAAAAGATATGCATAGAAAATAACACAAAAATTTTTTTTTATATCTTTACATAAGTTAAAATATTTTAATTTTTTGGAGTAAAATGAGTTGTAAAATTGTGTTATTTAATTTTAGAATTCAAATTTAAAACTTAATTCGTTTTTATGTTAATAAAAATAATAGTGACATAATAAACAGCATTTCTCTTTTTAATATTATAAGAAAATTTTAATATTATAGAAAAAGAGTTTGAAAATTAAAATGACAACCATTGCAATATGATTATAACTTCTTTATGGAAAAGTGAAAAAACTTAATTATTAAAGTTAATATGAGAAACATTGCAACATTGTTAATTTTAAAATTATTATAATTTCTTTTTTACAATGAAAAATATTGCAATATTATATTTTTTTGTTTTGAAAAAGTAAAAAAAAAAAATTAAGTATTAAAATAACAATGAAAAATATTATAATTTTCTTTTGGGAATTTAAAAACAAAATTGATTATTAAATTTAAATGAAAAACATTACAATATTATTATAATTTTTTTGAAAAGTAAAAAAAAATTTAATAATCGATTTTAAAAGAATTTTTGGTTTTGCATAAGAAAAGAGTTGCAAATTTTTTACTCTTTATAAAATTTTTTTTAAAAAGTAGTTAACGATTTGCGTGCTTTTCGTACAAATTTCCCCCTTTTCATTTCAATTTTAAATTACAATTATAAAAACATAACACTAAAGCAGTAATGCAATATGCTTACTCAATATTATTTCCGTTCTTTCTTATAAAAAAAAAGTTAAACCAACTATTATTTGATAAATGCCAGAAGACATTTTTACTTAAGCAACAAACAAAAAACTTAGTTAAACAACTTTATACAAAAACGTGGTAAGAGAAGGCTAAAAGGCTCTAAAAATCACGCTCGTAGTATGGAATACTAATGCCTATGCACAATCGATAGCTTGCAGTTTGGGTACCCTTGTTATTTTTATTACTTATTATTTCCTATATTGTTTGTTCGTGTAATTTTTTTTTTCTTCTTTTGTATGTTTGGTTGACTTACTCATCATCGGCATCCTTCTGTGGGAGCGCGTTTGGCAATTTACTGCAGCGCTTTGCATTTCCGCTGTTAAAGCGGCTTTCGTCGCTGACTTTTGGCATGTATTTCCAATGATGAAATCAATTGAACTGTCTAAACGCGTAAGTCCGCTGTTCACAACAAATGCGTTACTTGTCGATGGCACTTTCACAGTATGCGGTTGTTGTTGCTGTTGCAAATGTTTTGTATTAATTGTGCGTACTGTGCGCGATTCACAACAATCCAGTGCACTATTAATTTTGTTGTTTTTACTGTACACTTGTGTTTGAGACATTATGGTTGGTTTTGTTTGTTAAATTTGTTTAACTTTTTTAATAAAAATTATCACAGAATAATGCACACGAAATGAAAATGGCGTTCTTTCGTACACAATTTTCGCAATTTGGCGTTTAGAAAGTCAGACTTGCAAATTATAAAGTTTAAATATTTTTCTTTGTTTTTTTTACGCTTGCGCAAAGTTTAATATTTAAACAAAAATTTATGTGTTTCAGTCGGTAAATAAGAAAATACTATTTATAATTGTCCTGTTTTGCAACAAGTGTTGTTTAGCGAATATTTAAAGGCTTTTTGCTTATATTTATTTAAGTATTTTTTTTTTATGTTTTATATATGCTCTATATTGGCAATTTGAAATTATTTACAAATTTCTTCAACTATTGTACGAACTTGTTCGCTATTGATTGCGGATTGTAAGTTGAGTCTTCAATCGCAAGCTTTTAAAGCGAGCGCAAACCCCACAAATTCAATAGCATACGCTCATACAAACGCTCGCATTGAGTACAAGAATTGTGTGCTCATGCACACACCACACACACACACACGCGCGCGCGTGTATACATGACATACAAACATCTGCTTACACATACGAATGCGCGGAGAAAAGCAACAGATACGTTCGTCTTAACAGTTAGGATCTGAGCAAAGTTCACCTAGTCAGCCATAGCGGCACGACGCTAGTGTGTGTGTGGCCTGCGTCGCAGTGACAGCAACAACGCGTCTTGCGCCGGCGACTACGAAAACGAAGTTGACGAAGGCGACAGCCTCAATGCCGCCAGTATTGAATTTCTCAATTAATCGTTCAAGCGACGATCTTGGCCAAGAGCGTGCGCGTTGTTTAGAAAGAGCGCCATGTCGCGCTCTACAACTAATTGGTGAATATTGACATAACAATGGAGTGGCGATATTAAAAAAGTTAAAACAAAATGGCATTCAAGAAGGGTTTCAGTTGGGTAGTTCAGCGCGTGCGAAAGATGGAGCATTATAATTGTAAATGGCGGGGGTTGTTGCTTGTATTGTACTAAGATATATGTAAACAAGAAATATGGAAAATTGCTTAGCACGCGTCTAATCGTGACAGCGCTTGCCGCGACGCATGGCGTCGTCGTCGCAGTCACAATCGCAGCAGCTGTCACGAAGCAGTTAGCGCGACTGCAAACAACGCTGCCGTTGAGATATTTGGCGAGCGCACGCTTAATACAAAGTCACTCTTTTAATACATACAAAATGCGACATTAATGCTCGCTTATCTAAAACAGAGTTTAACGAGTATAATCGGCGAGATTATAAATGTATGCGCGCTACTCTATACTCCACACACACTCACACCCACACCGAATGCGCCTACTGAGCATTGTATTGCATTGGTGCGCGCCAACCCAGCAGCCAACTACAAACAACGCATACATATGTAAGCGGGGCCGGGCGTTTCGAGTGTGAGTGTAAACTAGTAAGTGAGCGCTTTTGTTTCAACAGAACGGTCGGCGCGCGCTCACCGTTTGTACGCCGGTTCAAAAAACCGAATATCACGATGAATGGCTCGTGCAAATGCTGCATTTACAACGCGTGCCAAACATGCGCCGCTGCTGCCACTGCAACAGCAATTAGTGTGCTATAAGTCACACTTGTCGGCGCTATTTGTTGTATAATTTGCGTGTGTGTTAGTTAGTGTTTCGCCTCATATATTGTATGTGTTTTGTCAGCACGCGTACGCGCGCGCCAACTTTCAACTGATGAAATTTCATTTTGACGTAGCCCATGAGTCAACAGATGAAGCTTGGGTTTAACTTACAATTATGCACACACTTGGTTACTCGTCGTCAAATACACCGCTGACCGCTTAAATGCTACTGTTTGGATATCAGCCACTGACTACATGATAATTTGGCGATTGAGCGAAAAAAAAGCACCAGATCGCTTGGGTGACAAGTAAGTGCAGAAGAATGTGCTGCGTCGCTTTTGTTTTTCTCTTATTACTATTATTATTATTATTATTTTTTATTAATTGTTTTGTAAGTTGTGACGTCAAATTCATAGCAACTTAGTTAGCTGCATTTACTTGTAAATATTTGTACATACATGGAATTGCAGCCACCAATAAACTGCTTTGAGCACAATTAAAATCGCATCGATGAATCACAGTGATGTGTGTGCGCTTCTATCGCTCTAATTGGCGGCTTGTGCCGCTGCAAAACACATAATTCTCTATGTTCTTCTTATGAAGCAAACTAATTTCGTGTTGGCCCACTGCTTGTACTTTTTAAATTCGGTACTTGGGGTTTTCCCAAGTAATATATACTGTTATTATTATGATATGAGTATTGGATTGAAGCATGCTTCATGCACTATTAAAAGATATATGAAAATGTTGTGAGCAATCTTGTAGAAAGAGCATTTGTGTACTATATTTCGTATGCGATGTGCGTTCGCCTTTGCGCATACACAACCATTTAAATATAGTGCTTGTGTATATATGAAAATTACATGAGAATCATTCTAATCTATTAATTTGTAACTCTAATTTACATAAATAATTTATTGAGGACTAATATGCTCATGTATTTTCAGCACAATAGATAATGATTGTAGAAAGCACTATATTATATATGGCACGTATTTTTTACTACACCCCTAGACACCTGCTTCTAAATTTTACATAAGATACATACAAGTAATTCACATCTTCGCTGAATAAAGAATGAAAATATGAAATCTCGCAGCGCAATAATATTTCGCTTTTTAAGAATATATTAATATTAACTATTTACAATACAAGAAAAAACGTTAACTTTGGTTGCCCTTCACAAATAAAAAAGGCTCCTTACAAAAACTTGATTCCGATCATTCAATTTGTATGGCAGCTATATGATATAGTTATCTGATCTGAACAATTGCTTTAAATAATACCTCGTGCCTGATTTCGTGAAGATACCTCCTCCAATGAAAGAGTTTTCCATACAAGCACTTGATCGGTATCTTCCGATTGTTCAGTTTCTATGGCAGCTATATGCTTCTTCGTCTACCAAAAATACAATTTTCACTTTATTAGTTTTTTCTCCGTCCAATACCTAGTTAATGGTCTTTGTTCAAACACGTAATTTTTTCTTATTACTTTTGTTGATCCTGTCAGAAGTTCTGCTGTCAATGCGGAAGCACCTTTTTTCTGAGGGACTGCCGGAAATGACGTCGTAATGACGAAGCTTTGAATATTTTCCGTTGAAAATTTCACGAAACCTTTACCAAATATGTATCTTTGGAATAATAAAAAGTTTGAATAAAATATTTAATTTTTTATATGAAAAAAAAAAAATTATTAAAAATAGGGCGTTTTTTGTTCGACGAAACTCATGTAACACCTTAAAGAATGATTATCCGATCTTCTTACACTATATATACAATATACATACGTATATATGTTCTGAGCATCTGAAATTTATTTTTTTTGTAACTGATTCCAAATTTTGTGTGTATGCTGTATTGATATAAAAAATATATATGTTTATTAATATATATGTATATTACTTCCTTTCATATATGTTCCTATATAACTTTAATCATACACGTATGTACCTATATATATTTTCAACGTAGGAATTAGTGACGTGAACGGATATAGTAATAATATTTTATCGAAAATTATAACCACAAACATGAATAATATGAGCAAACCCAGTTCCGGAGCTGCTGCTCTTGTCTCGAATTATAATTCATTTGCTGAATGAGCGGTCTTAACGGTTAATTTGTACATGTATTGTATTGTATATATTTATATTTAAAACTGAAAAAGAAATTGTGGGTATAAGCCGTAAATACTTTAATTTCGAAAAATAAATGATTACGCAAAATAAACAACATAATTTCTTTAAGTTGTCAACCGGAACATATTATAATTGCCACTTTAAATTTGTCATACCACACTCATTGTTTAATATGTGTGCAATAATGATCAGCGGTTGGAGCATAGCTTTTGTTGTTTCAAGAGCATACCTTTAATTCACTGGTTTTCAGTAAAAATAACTTATAGGTTTGCCATTTGGTATAGATATCGATCAGTGTGCTATATAACATAAGTATTGGTACAGATCACTCAAAGTTCTAATATACAATTAATACGAGAATTGCCTGTTATATTTCGGTATCAAAAAATAAAAAACACTATTAACCATCGAAAATAGCTGTATTTTTTTCCAAATATTCTCCATGAGTATTTATACACTTCTGAATGTATTTGAACCAATTGTTGAAGCACTTTTACCAAGTATCTCCAAAATATGCTTTCTGAACGCACCAACCGCCTCTTCAGATGTTGAAAAACGTCGACCTCTTAGTTTATATTTTACGTGCGGGAATAAAAAGAAGTCATTTGGTGCAAAGGACTATACGGTAGATGACTTTTGAGTTCTTAAAAATGCAGTTGTTGTTGGGTGAGAGCCCATGGGGAAGAGTGATACGTCTTCGATGGTTTGTTTGCCTATTTGCTTGAAAGACAACTGGCAAATAAATGGTTGTGTACCACTCAGAATTTATTATTCTGCGCTGTTCTGGTAGTATGGTTGCGACATGTCAGCTTTCCAAAAAAAAAAAACAACAGCCAATTGCATCGTGCGCGAACAACTTTTGTTGGATTCTGCTTATTTGGAAAAACCCATACAGTCGAGTGATGTTTACTTTCGGGCTCATACGATAAAATCCACGATTCGCCACCTGTCACGATGTCATAGACGAGTCTCGAAGCACCGCTTTCGTATATTTTTTTGAGCGATTGACAAATTGTGTATTGGATCCCACATTTTTTTTACAATCAAATGTACATATGTTGATCCCACAAATACCTATAGTTGTCTCATGACGTTCATACAATATCAGTTCGCACAACATCAATAGTTTCCGGAACAACAACTGATTTTGGACGACTTTCACGAAATTCGTCTTGGAGCGGTCAACGACCTCGATTTAATTAACCATAGCCTCGATAAAGACTGATCCTTGATGGAGCTTCTTCGCCCAAAATTTCATTAAATTTATCGATGCATTGTTGCTGAGTTAATGAACGTCGAAAGTTATAAAAAATGATCGCGAGAAAATATTTGTGATTTAATTGCATTTTTGGCCGAGATGAATACTTT